TACATTCTCTTCTACTTTATTTAACTGTTTATAAAAGTATATGAAGCCGATTTGTCTCAAACTTTTTTGCATGAAGGCGACGGAGTGGGTCCATCCATTACGTCATGTAAGTGGAAATAATGATTATTAATTTAATTAGGGCGTGAAGAATTATTAAATACTTTAAGACATCATATTATTTTATCAACTAATTGCTTACTAAAAATAGTTTACATTAAATAAATTAGTAATTTAATCTTTCGTGCAATTTTTTATAATTATTTTTATTTTTATTTTGATATTTGAACTGTTTTTATTATTTTGATTGAAAAGTATGTGAATAATATAATATTCATAATATGTAATATTCTTTCTGAAAAAAGAAAAGGTGATTTTATTGTCTGCTTAATGGTGATGGAGCTGGAAAGGTCAGTTTTTCCTTGTATCAAATACAGAGAAAGATGTTGTTTGGCCAAAAAAAAAATTTACTTGGCTTTTTATATATTTTAAAAGTACGTTGCTTGATATCGGTATTATTTTATACAATCAGTAACAAAGAATATGAAGAAATAAAACCATCATAAATCTCATCAAAAAATAAAAAATAAAATAAAACCATCATAGAATAAGCTACTTGGCTTGCTTATTAACATCACGGCTCATCATCAATTAAAAAATCCATTAAATTCATGAATATAATTTAGGTGTTTAATCAAATTTATTAGAAATTTTTTTAAGACATCCCTCAATGAAGAATCATCACTAATAAATATTAACCATTATATTAACATTAATATATAATAATACTATATTTGATCATTATTATAAGAGTTAGATAATTAATTCATGAATATTAAAAAATTAGTTCAATTGGTTATTAGTAACACATGTGTGTTGGATTTCTCAAGCCACCATCTTTAATTATATACATCAAAATTATTTCTTGGTAAGAACTTTCTTAATATGTAGAATCAATAAGGATATACTTGAAAAAAATATAAATTTGAGAGATAAAATAAATTAAAATCTTATATTTAAAATTAAATATAATTTTTAATTCACCTTTATATTAAGTAGCAAATATTTATTTAAAAAAAGGGGCTAAAGATAGTATTAGAATAAATAGGAATATTTATAAATTCTGAGCAATTTATTGTTATAGATTTTGTGAAGTACAGGGGACCCATATAATTGATTTGAAAGACAATATTGCTCCAAGTGGTGTAAGAAGTGTTGAACAATGCAGCTACTAAAAACAGGTGAAATGTGGATGTAACTTATTTTCAGGAAAATGCAGCTCATAATAATTATAATGAAATGTATTTTCACCATATAAAACCAACCACACTATACGGCATTGTCATCCATATTATTTGAGAAAAAGTTTGAAGTCAAACAAGTAATAAATTAAAACCACAACAATGGCACAAAGCATACCTAAAAACATGGACCAATATGCTCAAGAATGTTTCATTAAAAAAAAATATGCGGGTACTAAATATAAAAGTTAGATAATTAATTTATGAACACTAAGAAAAATAGTTTAGTTAGTTATTTATAAAAAAAAATTGTTATTAATTTTCCTAAGATGTCCCCCTCTAATCATTTGCAATTGAAATTACCCTATATGAAAATTTTTTGTTAATATATGCAATCAATAAAAATAGTTTGGGGAAATTATAAATTTAGAGAACAAAATTAGAATCTTATATTTAAAATTGAAACAAATTTCTCAATTAATTTTTACATTGGATTAAGATACAAATTTGTTTAGAAAGTTTTCAATTAGAAGCGCTAGACACTTAAAAGTTTTTGTGTGTGCAAATTTATGCTCCCTGCTGTAAAAAATATCAACGGTCAAGATTATTATTTTAATAATTAACATTAGTTTTTTTAATGGTAGAGAATAATATTGTCATAATTTTAAATTTTTGAGACAAGTTTGCGTCTAAAAAAGCTTTCAGATGCTTAGCACGTATCAGTGAAAACTTTTGAAGCAAATTTATACTTTAATCTTTTTACATTCAAGATGCAAGTATGCATTAGGAATGATAAGTGATAACACATCTAATTGTCATAAAGTGGTCCATTCACTTCGTAAATTGACTTGTAAATCAAGTGCTTTCCCAACCGAATACTTATGACAAGTTACTTGCATTTATTATATTAAATTTTTCAATTACAGATGGTTATATGTCATGTTTTAAAAATATTATTATTAAACTATAAGCATGTATAAAAAAAAACAATATACATGACTATTTGTGATTGTGATTGGAAAACTTTTCATATAGATATAAAGGACTTGATATAAATATTTTTTTTCCAAATACATAAATTGAATATTTTGACTACCATGATTTATTCAAATAAATATTCCAATACATTTCAACAAAGTGTTAGATTAATAATTGGAGCACAATAATTACATTTGACTTTGAATTAATGTTAGTAGTTAATAACAAAATTTTCTAACAAGAGTAATTAGGCATCACTATTCCAACCCTTACGTTGGATAAGTGTTGATTCAACTCAGTTTTTTTGACCATACACCCCCCCCCCACGAACACGCATTAATGAAAGGCACAATATTCAATCGGTCATTTGTGTTTATTTGAAAAATATACTCTTTTCAATGCTGAGAATAAGAAATTAGATAACTAATTTATACAAATTATAAAATCAACTTAATTAATTATTTATTTGTAAATAAGTATGTGTTGATTTTTTAAAAATATTTTTTGGTTATTTTTATCAAAAATTATCTCAATTGATAAAAACCTCATTTAATATGAGCAAATCATAATGATAGTTTTAAAAAAATAATTATAATTTTTTTAAAAAACATACATTGAGATTTTACGTTTAATATTAAAACTAATTTTTAAACTAATTTTTATATTTAAGATCAGAAAGGATCATAACAAATTATAACTTATTGTTTTGCTGTGTACTCTCCTACTCGTACTTTCAACACTTGCTTTGACAAAATGACAATTAACAATAAATTCCATAAAACCAAAGTCATATTTGTGCCTATGAATCAATACTATAGGAAACACGCAAGTGAACAGAGTCAATTTCTTGGCCAGTCAGCAATCACTTTGCATTAATAGAATATTATAATATTATCGATAATATATTAAAATATATCACTAGTAAGAATGAACAAGAGATAGTAAGAAGAAATGATGAAAAATTAAATAATTTATATAATATTTATAGCATTATTGTCATAGCCATTTAATATTTTGTTATTAGATATATATATTAAATTCAAGATATGATAATCACTTATTGTTCTATTCATGCATATTACTCCCTCCGTTCCTTATTATAAGAGACATTTGATGCTTATAGCATGTTCCCATATATAAGAGACACTTAAAAGTTGTCTCTAATTTTTTGTATTGATTTCCTATTTTACCCCTATTTATTTTGTCTCCAACCCATATTCTCTCTCCCTTCCACTTCTCTTTCTTTTAATAATTTAATTATTCTCTCTCATACTCTCTCTCCTTATTAATAGGGGTGTTGTTGGAAAAAACATTATACTTTACTTTTTACACATTAATTGTCCTCAACTAATTTTAACTGTTTTTTTGATCAACGTAATTTAGTTATTTGTCTCTTATAATAAGGAACGGAGGGAGTACTATTTTCTAAGAATCACTTAACACGCTTATTAAATATATTTTTTCCAGAACAAACAGAAGTGGAATGAAGAAATAGTATATGAAAAAGAAGAAATAAGGAATAGGGGACTGGGTAATAATTTGAATTTGAAATTAGTCATTCTTATATTTTTGTCTAATTTCAGAAAAGAAATATAAAAATGAGGGGATTTTTTTTTTTTCAAAGCATGGTTACGGAATCAATAATTTTGGCAGACAAATAAACCTCTTTTAAAGGTTGATATTTTTTTTTTTTGACCAGAAATTTTAAAGGTTGATATTGAGTCTTGAGAAAAGGCAGTATAAACGGAAAGAGAGTGGAAGTCAAATCAAAATAGATGTAACGCACTTTTATATGGTGCACATTTACTTTTAAAAATTTTAATGGTTTGAAATTTTTTTCCCACTTAAATATTATTGTATTTTGCATTCGTTTAAGTAAGACATTATATTTTAATAGCTAATAAACTATATTACCTCCGGTCTTAAATATAAGATTCCAATATATTTTTTTCTCTCATATTTATTTATTTTTTCAAGATAATCTTTTTAATAATAATAATACTAACTAACAAACTTGATTAGTAAGGATATTTTAGGAAAGACAACACCTATTTATTACTAATAACTAATTTAACATGTTTTCTTAATTTACTCAAATTAGTTAACTAACTTTTATATTTAGAACCGGAGGTAGTATTACCTTTTATGTTATTTTTTTAATATGTCTGACATGACAATTTTCATATAATAGTGATAATATTGTAGTTGATAAGGCAAAAAGAGAAAAAAATACAGGTAAAACCATAAAACTGCATCTTTTATCTGTTAATTTCAAATAAAATTTTGTTTTAGTTTTTTAATTTTATAAAGTATGTTTTTCAATTTTTAAAATTAATATCATTAAAACTTCAAATGTTAACAAAATATCCTTTCTTCATTTTTTTTAAGTATAGTTTGAATTAATTTAATGTATAATAAATGTGGTATTTGACATTGAAGGGAGAAGCAATCAGTGAATGAGGCTAAGGAGGGAAGCTGCATCCACGAGACATGAGAGTTTTTGGTTAGGAGGTCATCCTGTACCTGTAGAGTGAAAACGCAAACAAACAAGAGCTATCTTCCAACCCAACTTGTGAAATGTTCTTACTTTTGTCCAATCAGCAACCACCGAGGTGTCATCATTCCTTCTCTCCTCCTTTAATGGTTTAGGTTTCTTTCTTTGCTTTTTCTCTCTCTCTCTCTTCTTTCAACACGCTCTTGTGCTTGGTAGGTTGTGCCGTTGGCTCATGGGCCCGAAACTCCACTTAAGTTTAATGGTCTCTCGCATATGGCGTCTTCCTTCTTTGCTTTTGTTCCCTTTACGTCTTTCTGTGCTTCTTCGTTTTGCTCCTCAATTTCGAACTGTCTTGCTTTGATTTAGGCTTCTGGGTCTTCAATTTCTCCCTCATGGCCACTGGCTCTTGAGATTTCTTTGTGGGGATTTTTGCTTTTCGGAATTGGGTTGCGTTGTGTCAAGCCCTTTTGACGCAGCTCCTTGTGAGGTTATCTCGTCCTGCCCACGCATTTGAAGAGATCGGGAAATCTTCTTTCAGGGACATAATTCGAATTTACGCTTTTGAAATATCAACTTTTTATTTTGTTATAAAAGCGAGCTAAGAAAGTTCGGTTATGTCTGGAACTTGGTTCTCTGGAAATTCGCTCTGAGCATGGTGTTTGGGCGGCATATTACTTGATTTTGGAAGTGAGACTTTAATACGTTCGTCTGGGAAGCACTGGGGCGCAGAAGATGGACAGAGTTCTTCAACCTCCTCTGGTAATTTGGTTAATCGTTCTTCTTAGAGTTTCTCTTTCGTATTTATATCTAATATCTTCTTTGGTTGAGGTGTTGATGCTCGGTTTTGTGGTTCTGATGCCTTTTACTGTCGTTTCTTCGGAGCTGATGGGACTTCAAGTCTGGTTAAGTGTGTCCCTCTTGATGCTTCGTGATCATTATGGTTGGAATTTTGCCCTAATTTATCGTTTTTAATTTATAAAAGAGTTTGCGGGGATGGGAGGAAGACTTCTGGGGTCAATGCTTGAAGATCCTTGACTGCCATTATTAATTGGAATTTCTTCTGTTACCTTGTAGATGTTGCCTTTAGATATTTTACTGAGCTTCCCCTACACTTTATCTTCGTTGCCTAGAATTTTAGGAATGATGTTGCTATGAACAGTTGTCTAATGCCAGATGATGATATTAGGGAGCTGCCTCAATGTCTAAATAGGGTGTTGAGAATGAGACAATCTTTTGCGTAATCCCTATGCCTAAATCACAGTTACATGAGATCTCTTGTGGCTTTTCACTTTCAGGTACTGTTTAGTACGTGGGAATCTTAATTTCACAAGCACCTGGAATGTTATTCATGAGATGTTTGAATATGTAGTAATCTGTGAGAAATTATCGGGACTATGAAAAATTATGATAGCCACATGCCAAGTTCCATCCCAACGATAAGTGATTATTTTGGCATCCCCAATTATTGGGATTATTGGACACAAGTGAAAAATAGGAGGGATTAAGATAGATTGGGCTACTAAGATGGCCCAGCGAGTTTTAAGCTTTAGATCTGGGTATACTGTGACCATATTCTATTTACATGTGATTGATGCAGGTACCATTACATAAGAACCTCCTCAAATGCCTGATTATGATTAAACCCATGTTGGTCAAATTTTCTCGTAATTTTCATCTAGCTGATTTGTGTCTAAATCTGTGATATTGCTTCCGCCTTTAGATCATCCAGTTATAAGTATATAAAGTGCTCTAACTGCTGCGTCTCAGAATTGTTTGTATTTCATGCTGAGATGCTGATGATATCTCATGTTGATGTCATATATTCCATTAGAAAATAAAGTGTTCAAGTTGATTTCAGTTTTTCGTTGAGAAAGTAGCTAAAAGAAGTTTCTTTCACATCTGATTGTGCAGGTTGATACAACAGCATGTTTATGCAGGGTAGATACGGGCTTAAAAACTGTTGCTGGAGCAAAGAAGTATGTCCCTGGAACGAAGCTCTGCCTTCAGCCTGACATTAAACCATCCATTCACCCAACTAGAAGCAAGCCATCACGTGGTGACAGAAGCCGTAATCAATCCCCTTTACTTCCTGGACTCCCTGATGATCTTGCCATTGCTTGCCTAATTCGGGTTCCAAGGGTGGAACACCGCAAACTCCGATTAGTCTGCCGAAGATGGTACCGTCTCCTGGCTGGTAACTTCTTTTACTCACTCCGAAAGAGTCTTGGAATTGCAGAAGAATGGATATATGTCATTAAGAGAGATCGAGATGGCAAAATCTCATGGCATGCTTTTGATCCTGTATACCAACTATGGCAACCCCTCCCTCCCATTCCCAAGGAATATTCTGAAGCTCTTGGTTTTGGTTGTGCTGTTCTCAGTGGCTGTCACTTATACTTGTTTGGTGGCAAGGATCCACACAAGGGATCCATGAGACGTGTCATCTTTTATAGTGCTAGGACCAATAAATGGCACCGTGCTCCAGATATGCTTCGCAGGCGACACTTTTTTGGCTCATGTGTCATAAATAATTGTTTGTATGTGGCTGGTGGGGAGAATGAAGGAGTACACCGGTCATTGCGATCAGCCGAAGTTTATGACCCCAACAAGAATCGGTGGTCTTTTATCTCAGATATGAGTACCGCGATGGTTCCTTTCATAGGAGTTGTGTATGAGGGGAAGTGGTACCTGAAGGGACTTGGTTCTCATCGGCAGGTTCTGAGTGAGGTCTACCAGCCAGAGTCTGATAGCTGGTGCCCTGTTTTTGACGGAATGGTCACTGGCTGGAGGAACCCAAGTACTGCCCTTAACGGACAGCTCTATGCTTTAGACTGCAAGGATGGCTGCAAACTTAGGGTTTATGATGAGGTGTCTGATTCATGGAGCAAGCATATTGACAGTAAAATACATTTGGGGAACTCACGGGCTATGGAGGCAGCTGCTCTTGTCCCCCTCAACGGCAAGCTTTGTATCATCAGGAACAATATGAGCATTTCTCTGGTTGATGTTTCCAAATTTGAAGATTTGAGAGGATCATCAGCTGAACACTTGTGGGAAACTATTGCAGGAAAGGGACAGTTCAAGTCTTTTGTAACAAATCTCTTGTCTAGTCTTGCTGGCCGAAACCGACTCAAAAGTCACATAGTGCACTGTCAGGTTCTTCAAGCTTAGGGTTTGTATAGTGTCGAAGAATCAACAGTGAATGTCAACTATGACTTGCTTCACACCCTAGGGATCATGCTCATTGTGAGAGATGATACATAGCTTATGAGACTCAAATCTCTTCCAGTGATTTGGGAAATGAAGATAAGAGTGAGACCGGCTGATCAGGAGGTTATGTTCCTACGGCTCTCTTGCTTCGCTTTTATCCCTAGTATCATTGGAGGGGATCTACTCACATAGATCATTTGTCTTAGTAATTTGAAGTACTTCACTAGAGATTAGAAGAGAATGGTGGGTCCCACCTCTGCGTACGTGGACTCACAGACAGAAGCGGAACCCACTACTTTCTTTCTATCTTTCTCTATTACTACATCTTATAAAAGTACTTCAGAGGATTCAAATTTGTCTTAGTAATCACAGTGCTACAGATATTGATAGGTAGTTACAATTTACATGTTAAGAATTGAGTTGTCATATGTTGTGATGATGTGAGGAACATCTTTCATGAGTAATTAGAGCAGATCAACACTTACCCAACTTTTACATTTACAAGTGTGCACAACTATTCATGTGGCTCCTTCTGTGTTTAAAGATCAAGCCCTTCACTTCTGGGTTTGTTGAGAACTAGTATATTCAAAATGCCTATATAGTTGTGCGCAGTTGTAAACGTTTATGAGTTTTGTAGGTACTATTATTGCTCGAGGAAGAAAAGATTGATCATGTGTAACCCATGGTTTACCATTTGGAAAGTTTTAAGCTTTGTATAGTTCTGCACTTTCAAGAATGAATGGCATGAATATGATGTTGATTAGAGATATATTATATCAAAAGTTTACTCATTAGTATGATAACTATTTGGTGTTTGGTTTATTGTTTCTAAATTTTCTTTTGACGGTTGTGTTGTTGTTTTTGAGTGCAGCAGAGTCGCGTGAAAAAAAAAGTTGTGGTATCATACTGAAGAAAATAAAAGAAAATGTATTAGAGAATTGAAATTTCGTTGTAACTGTAGATTTTGTGGTTGTATTTATTTATAATCATAGTCATAATTTATAAATATGTTATTGTATCAGATACCAAAAGAAATGTCTTAATTTCATGTAGGGTTAGTATTTTTTTCAGTTCCTAAAATTTGATTTCATTTTTTATTTTGGGTCTTAAACAAAATTTTGAGGGACCAAAAGTCTTTAAGTGGATCAAAACGAAATTAAATTTTAAGGAGTATAGTCAAAATGAAATCAAATTTCATGAGCTAAAATTACAATAAGATTAAATTTTAGGGATTAAAAGTAATATTAACTTTTTTATCCCTAAGCCCCCGTCAACTAAAACCCCCGGTTTTCTTCAAAATCTCTAATCCGCCAAAAGGGTGGGAACATGTTCGTTTGAAAAGATTCTAAGTTTGGTCATTATCCTGCGATTTTAATATTTTACACACATAAGAGTAAAAGTGGAAGACCCATGGAAAAAAGTGGCCGCAATTTAAATATTTTATGCATGGAAAAAAATGCATTTTGAATTTTTTTAATTTTATATAAAATTTCATTTTGATTCTCTCAGAAAGTCTACTATGCTGGGAGATAAAATCGGCAACAATTACCTTGAATTCAACCCAAAAAAAAAAAAGTAATTTTTTTTATTGGGGGGTGAGTTGCGAGGTGCGAGACATAGCAATAAGGGAAACTTCCAATCTTTGTCAGCAAAGACAATTCCCATTTGCCATAACATCATGTGCGGCGAGGTATAGCAGAGATAAATATTGTTTACAATGTAATGTTGGGTTACTAATATAAAACCTAGTTAAAAGTTAATTTTAATTTTAAATATAATATTTTAATTTATTGTATTCTCCATATTTGTTGTTGTTATTATTATTATTATTTTCTTTTACAAATTATCTTTATTTATTGTACATATTAGGAGAATAGTATCAAAGGGTAGATTGTAATGGAAATGATTTAATAAAATATTTTAAAAAATCAATATATATTTTTGGAAAAATCACAAAAAAAACCGTAAAATTAGAAAAATTATGCACAGGGATCGATTTACAAAAATTATTATCAAAACGCATACTATTGTTGTCAAAACTCATACTAATGTTATCATGGGTCTCAATTTGTAATTTTTCTAATTTCATGATCTTTTTTTTTTCCTGATTTTTCCTATATTTTTAACAGATAAACAATTTAATTATTTTCTTAATTTACACAAATGAGTTAAGTCAAAAACCAGAGGTAGTATATCATAATTTTATTCATCATTATTCAGCCTTATTTATCCTTTTTTACTACTTAAGGCCATAAGGGTACACAGTAAATATTATTTATCCCAAAATAATTTATTTTACTTGTTTCACTAGTAACTCATTTCCATTTGGTTTAACAAAATAATTAAAAACATAATGCAAGTTGTTATAAATTTATACTCTTCCAGTCCTTAATATAAGACCTATTTAACTAATTTGATTAGATTAAGAAAGCTAGATAAGTTAGTTAATTATAAAAAAAATGACATATTTTTCCTAAAATACCATAATCATCTTTCTTAATATTCTCCATCCATGTCCTACTTGATTATGGTTGGATGAGCATCAATAAGGGTAATTTAAAAAAATTGATAAATCTGATAAATAGGTCTTATATTTAGAACCAAGATCAACTCAACAATTAGGTCTTATATTAAGAATAAAAAGAATATTTTTTTCATAGGAATATATCTATATTTTGTTTTAGAACTGGTCTCTATCCACTTTCATATTGATTTTCGCAAGTTTCCCTACCTCTATGCATGTAAATTTTACAAGGATGAAGTCATGGAACTCATCTCTTGTCCCTGGCTTCCCCCCCGGGATCACATAATATAGTTGTGACGTACTAAATTATGATTGAATTAACATGTTAAAAATTAAGGAAAATTGCTTATTTTCCGGGGTCAGCATAACAGAAATTAAAAAATTATACCAACAAAAGTTGATCTAGTTGATAAAAAGTCAGTTCATAACTCATAAATTGTAAGTTCGAATTCTGTTGTCAACAATGTGAGGACATTATTTGTCAGCGATTTGTAAGTATCCATATAAGTATTTTCTAAGTTTGGAGGCATGTTCTAACTTTGACAAGTAAAATCCAATTTTCCTAAACTTTTTTATTCACCAAAAAAAGGAATTTTAAAATTCTGAATGCCCCCTTAGTTTTTTAATCAGTCAATTGGTTGATCATCTTGGATTCGGCAAAAGCGCTTGTCCCTGTGATTAATCTCGATTCTGAGTTAGGCACTTGGTTGGAAAACTTAACACAGTCAAACAATGTTTTTTATCTAACTCAATTTGCAATATTAGTTTTACCATCTCTAAGACACTTTTGTCGTTGGAAACGGCAATCCAAACATGCACTATATTATTAAGTTGGACATTTATTATTTGATTTGTCAATTTTAATTTATAGAATTGATGAAATGCCATTTATAGAAATGCACATAATGCAAAAACAACGTCAAAAATAAATATTTATAGTACATTAAATCAGAAGAACATAACTTAGACAAAATAAATCATATTGATCTGATTCAAAACTGAGGTATATTAAAAGAATCAACGATTATTTTTCTTGTATATATTCAGTTATTACATTATTCCATTTCTTACATGGGCCAAATTTGTGGCGAAGCAAGTTTAGTATTCTAGTTCAAAATATAAGTATTAGATAATTAAATCAGGCAACTCAAAAAATTAGTTAAATTAATTAAAGATAATAAATTTATAAAAAAACAATTTATTTTATTAAAACACTCTTATTTATAGAAAAGATGAGCGGGAGAGAAAATGAGTGTGAAAAGACATGAGCGAGAATGAATTTAAAAAAAAAAGAGAGAAACATATAATTAATTAGGAGTAAAAATAAAAAAATATATTAAACTAACAGAAAAATTGTAGTTTATTATAAAAATACCAATTCCTTTCAAAAATTTAATGCTCATATTTTGAACCGGAGTAAAATAATCTCAACATCCAAAAGTTTGGGCATTCAAATACTGTGAATCCCGCCGGGGGGGGGGGGGGGAAGACTTGGCTGTAAAGATTACATAATACAACGCTCGAATCTAGATTACTCAACACTATTAAATACCAAATATAATTATGTAAAAAAACATCAGTCAGTAATGTGAAGATTAAAAAGGGGGGAAAGACTCCAATTGGTAGGTCAGAAGTATTTACATGGCATCAATTTTTGTCTTCAGTTCAATTTCAATTTCAAAGTTTCAGGTCTCTCTAACTTACCTGGTTGTATCGTGAAAAATAAATTTGATTTTCAACCCAGCAAATATATAATAGGATTTAGGTCTTATATTTACCAAAATAAACTCCCTAATTAATAGCCACATTTGGGACTGGAGGGATTATTTTTCATTTCTTTTTGTCCGTGATTCAATTCCATTGTGTAAACCAAATAATCTGGAACATTTATAAAAAAAAATCACCCTGTTTTAAAGATTACAACAGAAGGGCACAAGCGCAAAGGGCCCTAAAGGTCTATATTTGTCTAAAATTTGTTTTTATTTCCATAAGCAGCTACAAAAGATATTTGACATAAATATCTAACTACATGAATCGGAGACCCCATGGTACAAGCAATACAAAGAAAACCCTACATGTGATTACAATACAAAAATCTACGTACCCATGCTTCTTGAGAGGTAGGATTCAGCCAGGGAGAAATTCTTGTCCTTCTGTCTCTTATACTCATTGTAGCGCAGGAAAAAATAACCAAGATAATCGAAATCAATTGGGGACATCCTCGCCTGTTGAGAATGAGAAAAATAAATAAATAACGTTCATGGATATGAATGATTTTGCAGTGTATAACAAGAAAGAAAGGAAGAAAAATTATACCTGAATCAATCCCCATAAAGCCCAGAAAACGTGAGAAACCAATGAATATGTGTTTGCTTCAACATAGAGACTATAGAGATCTTCCTCAGTTACCTATATCATAAAATAAATAATTAATTAATAATATAAATGCAGGAAAGTTGATAACACACTGATTTTTCACGAGATCAGCAGACCCCTCTGTCTAGCAACCACTATACAAGATATGCCTGAGCTAATGTTAAATCAAGTCCACATCTTAATGAGAGCGAGTGATGTAACAAGTCGTGGAAAACCATCAGCCGACAGCACCCCAGGATCCACACCCCAGAACCAACCTAATTTAGTTTTCAGTGCCCAGAGGCCTAAAAAAGTGATCGAGATAGCGAATGATTAGTTTGAGAACCCCCAGAATAGACGTTGGTGTAACATGTACTCACTAATATAAAAGGCAAATTAATTCCATTGATAAGGTTTGAGTATCAATTTCAATCTTCAATGCATTAAAGAGACTGACAGTGTGAAGAATTAGTTAGACAGATGGGTGCATTCTACAGCTAAACTGAGCAGGATCGGCCCAGATTTGTATCGTTTACTAACAGTGTGATTGTGGATGTAATAAACATAATAAACATGGGCTTGTTTAAAAGACAGCATCTCATTATAGATCATTAGCAATCTGCAAAATAAAATAAAATTGATAAAAATTAACCTCGTGTGGTCTGTCAGGTTGCAAGTAATGCCTGAAAAAATGATATTGTTCATCTTTATCTGGGTATCTGCATAAATACAATGGTCAACAACCAATTAGAAAACTGATTAAACAAAAGGGGAGAGAAACAAACAGAATGAGAATAGGTTACAAAGACATACAAGTTGTAGTCACAATCATAGCCCGCATACTCGGCAAAATGGTTTCCAATGTCAAAGCCTCTAAAGTTGTATGATGCATACTCATAATCA